ATTTTTTGTTTTTGTCCACTTAATTTTTTTTATTTTTAAATAAATAAATACTTCCTACATGGAGAGTGAATGTTAGAATGATCTTTAAAGAAACAAACAATTAAACTAATTAAAATAATTATTATATTTCATAAAGTTTAATCTCATACACATTATATTTTAAATTATTTGAATATTATAAAATTGAAGATATTTTAAAAAAATATTAGATGAGGGAAGAAAACTGTATAAAAATAAAATATAACACACACGTGTGGTTAAAAAGTTCATCATTTTGATAAATCGGGTATAAAACATGGGTATTATTTAAATAATCAACTTTATTATTTTTTAATTATTATTTGTATTTTTAATTTTTTATCATTCTAATATAATGATATAAATTTCTTTACTTCTTTATTTTAATAAAATATCTAACTTTCAAACATCCTTGTTGTTCACGGATGTTATATTAACTGCCAAATAAACTAATTAATATATCTAACGTTGACAAAAATAAATATATATTAAATAAAAAATAACACTTCATAAAAATATTTTTTAAAATGCAAAATAATATTTAAAAGATTATTTTTTATTAATTATTTATATATTTTTTTTTATTTCACAATAAAAATTTTAATTTTTTTTCAACTAAAGTAACTCTATATAACCAATACTTCCTAACCATCAATTCTTCATTTCAAATACCAAAGAGGATACAAAAAACCTTTCCCCGACTGTTCCGACAACATTGAAGTAAATAAAATCCGAGTGGGGAGGAAAATAACAAAGGAAAAATGAAACAAAACAATGCGAAATCATCCGTAAAGCCAATAAAATATAACATCATTAAATCCAAACAAAACATAGTATGCATGAGAACTATATTTCTCATTGAACTGCTGTGTCAAACAAACAATAAAACACACTTTTCGTCAATACCAAAATTTCTTTGCCCCTTGGGATGAAATAACGATTTCACTCTCCAGCCAGATGAAAGTTTCTTGCCAAAGTACCACAAGGTATTGTATTTCACCATCTACGGTTATTATTGCTATTGCCACGTCCCCTTCCTCTGGAAAAGATACCACCGCGGCCACCGGAAAACCGCCTGTCGGAAGAGCCACCACCGCGGCCACGGCCGCCATTGCCACCACCAAATCTTCCTCTCGATTGCTCTCTTTCTTGCAAAGGCGGCAAAGTCTTCATCACTTCCAGGCTTACACCAGCAGCATTTTGTTGGCCTGTGTCAGAAAATGCAAATTAGTTTGGAGGATCACAATTTCCAGTAATGTGATTTATCATTACTTACAGAAAGAGATGAAAGAGGCCTACAAGGGATTTGTGCAAGTATTACAAAACTGAGTCAAAATTCGAAAATCCCAAATAACTACATAAAATAAGAACGAACACTACACAATAAACTTTAAATAGGTACGAAAGGTAAACTTGCTTGGATACAAAAATATTAGCTCAAAATGGGTTTTTTTGGTTAACTGTGGATAATTTTGAAAAAGGTTGCATGGTTATTTTTTTTTTTCCGAAACGATAGATGTACTATAAAAAGCACAAAAGTGCAAAGAAAACAAATTACAAGACCCCAACGGGGTAATCTAAGACCCCAACAGGGTAATGAGACAGGGGCCAACGGCCCAAACCAAAAACACGCCTAATAAACACACAGGAATAGAAAACTGAGAGAACACGCACATGGCGGCCTAGAGACTCTACAACCGAAAATAAAGGAACATAAATAACAGAGCCACTGCACAATGCCTAGCCTGTATTCATATCCCAACAAAGACAAACAAACACACAGACCAGCTAACAAACAAAAAACACAGAAGACAACAAACAAACACTAATCATACTAAAAAAAGCCCTTCCTAAGCAGCATAACCAAGCTTAGCCAGAGGATACCAAGTCGACCAAGAGTGAGTCCTACAGCCAAAAGGAACCGACCCGAAACTGCCCAACACCAACTCGGTGGCCTAACGAAGTCTAATTCCAAGCCCCGGGACAACACCTAAAGGCAAACTCGAACCACAACCACCCCACCTAATTGCCAGAGAGCCGCCACTGAACCGAATCCTCTAACACCACTAGTGAATCCGTCAGTCACCGGCAAGCCTCCCCGAGCCACAGAGCATGAGACCAGGGGAGAGAGCAACCAGATGTCGAGGTAGCAGCCTCGACCCCCGAACCACCTGGAACCGCCAATATCCTCCGCCCACCACTGCGCCCTCCCAGCCAACACCACTGGCCGGAAAAAAACAATGGTCCTCCCGGACCCAACGCCAGAGAACAAGGGGGAAAAGCTGAGAAACGCGGCGGAGCTCCGATCATCCGACAACGACGCTGCCGAACGACCAAGGAACCACCTACCCAAACGAAATACGCCCCAACCACTGCCTCCACAACCCAGGTAGCCGCCGGATCGAGCTCGAAACGTCGCCAAAGTCTGGGTCTCTAGATAGTAACATTTCGTGGATGAGGGATGCCAATGACTCATGCAATAACCACGGGTTGACTTCTGGAGGTGGAGTCATTGACGTAGCCTTATAAGGGCCAGTGTGGGACTAGGCCCACATTGGAAAAAAAATACTATCTTATATAACCTATTCAAAAAATAATTTAACACATCACTAATTCATAAATAAATAAATAAAAAAAACAATGGGAACACAAATAAAGAAAAAAAAAAAGAGATAATGGAAGAAAGAAATCACTGTTTTTGTTGATTTTAGTGAAAGTAAATATTGTCCTTCTTTTTGGATATATGAAATAAAAACTTAAAATTTAAATTTGTAGTTAATTGAATGTTATTTCTTAAAAGGCTATTAAGTATTAACATATTTAAATTTGTACTAAAAAATACTTGAATTTAAGATAAATATATCCTAGAAACATGCATATAAAACTAAATAAAATATGGACAAAAATTTATTTCGAAAAGAAAAAAAAAAAAACTTATTCCACTTCGTCGATATCTTCTACCTAGCTTTTTCGCTCGTCTTGTGCATGTATCTAGTATCCAAAAGTCTCTAAGGTCGTCCTTGGATATAAGTTATGATTGGATTTTTACAATGACAAGTTAAATTTAACTCAACCTCAATTTTTCTCGATATAATTGAATAATATCAATCATTCATCCTTACACATCGCATAAATTATAATTCATTATTCGCTTACTCACATAATTTTAACTGTAGATCACTTTCAATCATATTTCTCCTATCTTTCATCAAATCAAGTTTAATCATCATATTTTAAATATTATTTTAATACAAACGCAAAATCTCACTCAAACCTAGCTCAATCAACTTTTTCAAAATTAACTATGGTTGTCCAACAAAATCAATCAAATTCAAAATAACTTATATCTAATCACCCCCTAAAACTCTGAAAACTCCTAAAAAAAGGTAACCAAGTGTTTCTTAAATAGTTGAGGTCGATTCATATCCGAAATAGATAA